TACTTACACACAATCACTTTCTATGTTAAAACCACAAGAGGAGACCTGTTATAAGAGTCCTGATTGATGAGGCCATTCCAAGTTTTTTCTTTGTTTAGCATCCATCCTAAATTGGAAAACCTATCTTCCTATCCGAGAAAACACACAAACCAAAAGGAAAAAAAAAACTTTTCAAAACAGTTCTAAAATTTCTTATTATCATTTGAGACCTCTCCTTGCCATAGAATTAAGTTAAACTACTAGTTTATTGAAATAAATAATTAATACACTACTTAAAAAAAAAGGGAGATGTCAATCCCAAAAGAGTAAAATGCATTTCAGAGATTCGTATTTGTTGATTTTAATTTGAGTTAACTTTGTGTTTGCGTTTCAAAGCTTTGTATTTATCAATTTTTAATTTGTGTTTGTTTTTAATTTCATAACCTCAAAACCAATTCATCCGCGTATGCTGCAAATAGAAAAAAAAACTTGGAATGGCCTTATCATAACTTGCATTACAGACCTTGAAAAATTTTGCTTCAAATAAAAACCTTGAATCTCTGAAGGCTTTTTAAAAAAGGGTGTGCGATTTTTTGGGATCCATTTTTCAATGAACAAAATATTTTATATAGCCAATGCTAACACTTTAATTTTAGAGACAAACACACGACTTTGCATGTACATACTCATTATTTGATTAACAAAATCGAAAAATACATGCCTAAATCTGCGTAGTGAATTCGACAGGAAATGCACAACAATTCTCGGGAAGGGATTCAGAAGCCTGTAGTACACTCTAACGGGCATAATTCCCTAAACTAAAAGTTATAAAAAAAGGATATAATATTATGTGTATGATTTACATAAAGAGTTTATCCATGTCAGCTATGAAAATCTGTGTGTGTCGTCTTCAAAGCAATGCAGCATGAAGCGGCAGACACTTGCATTGATATCGATCAGTAAAAGATCGATCAACGGTCACCGTCGTGTTGGGAGCCAAAGGAAATTGGAAAGGGATGTATTTAGTTTTAAATCAAATTCTTGATATAACTTTTTTATTGGTACTCATTACAGTACATGTATAACTTGATTATCAGTAACCCCCCCCCCCCTCCCCTTTTCTATTTACATAGAGACAAAATACAAATAATCGAAATGCAGAATAACAAAACACTCACATAGAAGAATCAAAATTCACTTTCACGTCCCTTTTATAAGCTACATAGAGATTTTACTTCTAGTTCAGTTATTGAATTATATGAAATCTGATGTTATTTTGTTACTTGTGGGAACAATACGCAAAACACGTCACAGTGCTTCTTTATAGAGTTATCCTTGCCATTTCCGGATTATAACGCTAGCTTGATTACGTTTCTTTGTCATGTTTGTGTCTGATAAAAAAAAATCTTAAAAAATATACCTAACAAACTGCTGACATAAATTGCGAGATGATACATCTAGTCATCTACTAAGACAAAAACTGCATTAAAATAAAGATTTTCTTTAGAACTCCTCCCTATGTTTACACGTTACACAACCGTAGGTAAGATATTTGATATATTTTGGTGACAATGATAATTTTATCACTTCCTTTGGATACATTAATTCTCTGGGACATTTCCTTCACAATTCTGTGCATTTGTTCTTGTAGTCAGAGCTCCAGATAAGGTGCGTATTTGCAGAAATATGCATTGAATTTTTCAAAATACGCATTAGAAATTAAATCAGGGCATACAATTATGCATTAGCAATCATAAATAAGCATTACATTATGAAAGTACTGCGTACGACAGATTGAATGATGCAAGTATGATTTAATTAATTATGTGAATTGAGGTCAGCTCAGTGTTTTAATTTTTATCGAAAGGAATTTTTTTGGCTTTCCACATGCTCCTGTGCTATAAATAGCACCCCGCGACTTTTAATGCAAACGGAGACGATGGCAATATAGCAAAACCTAATATATATTTTTGATTAAAAAACAACAACGGGCGGGGCATTTTGAGAGTGGCAGGTTGGTATGAGAATCAAAATATTAATTTTATCTGGCCAAAGGAAGGATATTTTTCTCAGTAAACTCTTGCTACGATCGATATAGGCCTAATCTTAAATGGAGTTCTGTGTAGTAACTATAAAATACTTTTAATTTGTTTTTGTTTTTTTTTCTGGAACGGATTATCAACATTGACAGACATTGAATCTTTAAAATTCAGATAATGTGCACCGTTTTCACAGAGGTGATATTGGACAGGACGCTCCTCCAGCCCTAATGAACATCCATTGGAATAATGAACATATTTCCGATGAAATATATTATTATTATTTCATGGATAATCTGGATAAAATCCTTTTAAAAATACTAGCTTACTTCAAGGTTAACAATAGTGTGCTGCACATAGTTAATATACATGTGTGTACATTCGTTTTTTATACAGATAAATATCTATAGAGTAATCTTTTTTCTTTTTGGAATGCCTTAAAAATGTATTAAGAAATTTATTTCTGACAAAAAAAATAATTGAGTTAAACCATCGATTATGGAGCGGAAAGGGGGGGGGGTGTCTTGTCCACAAGTAATGCAAGATTGTGTTTGCATTTCTTACAGAACTGGCAACAGATAATCTTTATTTATAGACAATAAAAAAGGTTGATTGTATCATGTTTCACTTAAATTTTTCGTAGGAAACCATGAAAGCGTACACCACTGTATAAGTTTTTTAAGCCTTATAAAGTTGGTCAACATAATTATCTAAAATTCCTTGTAAATTATAAATCAAACCCGATTTTACTTGAAAACAATGATGTCAATTTTCCGATCAGCATGATAAATGTATATATGATTTATAAGTGTAAATACATGTAAAAACTTTTCCATTCCCAGCTGCTGGCCCTCAATAAGTAAATGTAGGTCGGCAGTGGCAGATTTAGAAGTATTTCGTCATATATAAAACACTTCCTGATTATGCGATAAAACACTAGAATCCTTTCTGACATACTTAATTTTGTCAAACAAAAAATCTGCAACAATACAGTGACAAGGATAACAAGTTTTGAAAAGAAATGTTCAAATGGTGACTGCTGTATGCCAAGCTTCCCATCTCCCACCCCCCCCCCCCCTTTCCCCTGCCCCAATCATTAGCTATTGTCTTTTGATATTCATGAATCCCAGACATATATAAATTGAAAATGAATAAAACATTCTTTAAATAGTTGATGATTTTCAATAAAAGTGTTAAAAAAAATCTTTTCTTGAAGTCAAATCAATAAAGTCAATGTCCACTATGAAGGAGACGCACATTTTAATTGGAGGTGCATGTAGGATTAAATGTAAATTAATTGTCTGAACCATTATGTTGTTAAATTACTTTTTCACGCTGTAAATACTGATTGAATATTTATCATAGTTGCGAAGACTGAAGAATTTGTTTCATGTACATATTTTCAACATGATTGCTCTTTGTGACGTCATTGTTTCAATGCATTGTGTCATTAATTTACATGTAATGTCCCATAATAATTTTCACTGAGAAAGGTTTATATGGTTTTCATTTGCATAAATAATTGTATTAATTTTTTTTTCAAATGCAGAATTGAATTTAAACGACAATAAAAAATAATAAAGCCTTCAGAAATAGAATTAAACCATTAATTTTTTTTAAAAATATAGATTTTATTGTGGAGAAAAGGTGACGTCTATCCAAAAATGCAGCATTTTTTACTTCAATTTTTTGTAAAAACGGATGTGGCCACATTTTTGTAAGGTTATTTTTTCTCTTTAATATTAAAAATCGTAGTATATTCATTCTTTCAAAATATAGACTTGAAGAGGAGGAAAACGTCCAAAATAGGGGAAATCTGGAATATTAGATCGGTTTTAAACGTTATATAAATGAAAGGGCACGTGAGTTGAGAAAAATTTACTCCTAATTCACACACAGCTAAACCTTAACAGTTAATTGATACAATTGATAAAATGTAATCGTGCGTTTAATTTTTGCCGATTTTACAGGGCCATAAATCGGTCTTAACGTACCCAGTTCTTTACATTGTTGGCCTATTTGTCCCACATTATTGTAAAAAGCAGCACTGCATTCCTGAATTCTAAAAATGAATTTGAGCACACTAGCTGCAGTGGTCTGTGTTATGGAGTAATTAGGTCAATGGTTCACACTGCAAACCTGGATTCTAAAAATAAATTTTTCAAGCACACTAGCTGCAGTAAATGAGAGCAGCAGGTGTGTGTGTTAGGGAGTAAACTAGGTCAATGATAAATAAACTTCAGATGGGAAGATTAGATCTGCCTTACATGTTTGCACATATATTCATACGCAGTAATTGTACATTGTACGGATATTTAATTGAATTTTTCTTTAAAAAGCATAAAGACATAAATAATGTTACAATATGAAATTTTATACCATTTAAACCTCCTAAGTTTGGCAAGTCATATTTGGCGTATGAATCACCTTGATGAATGAGTAATAATTTTTACAGCTACGATGACAAGGAATCAGCTCCCTCCACGAGCCGACTCAAAAATGAAACAATTATATTTATTTAATATTTTTGGTTATTTTTAATGTACAATCTATTCAGTGAAAAATAGTTTGCGGTTATTAGTCAAGCATTTAGTCTACTTCCATTTCCAAAATGGCAACCATCGAAGACGGAATGTAAACATGTGCTGAATAAAGATGGCAATTACTATCAAAGAATATATTTTATACTTCAATTTATCTGAAAAATGTTATCATATTTAATTCATAAGTAAGTGAAATAATTTATTTCGAATCAGGAAAGTCACTAAGTAAACTAATCAAATGAAAACCAAAAGTGCAAGTTTGAAATTTGCTACGATGTATTATCAATATATGAAAAGAAATCTGCTCCAAAAACTTTAACTGGGATCAGACACGGACACAGAGGCAGACACCGATGCCGAGGGTATTACATAAGCTCCCCCAGCTTCGTTGAGGTGAGCTAAAAATGAATTCTTTCAATACTCCATCTGTGGTACTCACCCTGAGATACTTTCCTTGAAAATCTGATAAATCTCCAAGCTTTTTCAGTTTGATTTCATACGATTGTCCTACAACAGTGCAAAAGTACCTGTGATCATAATTTGTACATATAATTATGTATAATTAAGGTACAGACCCTAAAACAATATAATATTACACTACTTGCACCCTATGGTTGGTACATTTCTTGCACAGTACATTTCATTTTCTGAATGTTATGGTTGACAGTTCATTTCTTGCACAGTACTTAAAAGCTTAAAATAGATCTATACTCACATCATTGACAAAGAGTACGAGAGGCATTTGAAAAGTTCTGAGAACTGTTTGATAAAATATTAACCATTTCACAGAAGTTAATAAATTTGATACCATTGAAAAGAGCTGGAAAATTTGCACTCATTTTGATGTCACTTTCTTATTTTTATGACGTAATAACTCCGAAAATGAAGTCAGAATCTCGAATGTTTAGCATACTGAAAAGTCATGTTTTTGTTGACATGAGAAGATCAAACAAGAGGCCCATGGGCCACATCGCTCACCTGAGTACTTTGACCATGCTGTTCTTTACCAGATTTCCCCCTTGAAATACTTATTGTGGCCCCACCCTACCCCTGGGGGTCATGATTTTAATAATTTAAAATCTACATTATCCCAGGATGCTTCCACATAAGTTTCAGTTTTTCTGGCCCAGTTGTTCTTGAGAAGAAGATTTTTAAAGATTTTTCTTACATATTTCAATGTAAAACTTGGATTCCCTATTGTGGCCCCGCCCTACCCCCAGGGGTCATGATTTTAACAATTTAGCATCTACACTACCCCAGGATGCTTCCACATAAGTTTCAGTTTTTCTGGCCCAGTTGTTCTTGAGAAGAAGACTTTTAAAGATTTTTCTTACATATTTCAATGTAAAACTTGGATTCCCTATTGTGGCCCCACCCTACCCCCGGGGGTCATGATTTGTACAATTTAGAATCTACACTATCCCAGGATGCTTCCACATAAATTTCATCTTTTCTGGCCCAGTTGTTCTTGAGAGGAAGATTTTTAAAGATTTTTCCTATTTATTTCAATGTAAAATTTGGATTCCCTATTGTGGCCCTGCCCTACCCCCGGGGGTCATGATTTTTACAATTTAGAATCTACACTACCCCAGGATGCTTTCACATAAATTTCAACTTTTCTTGCCCCGTGGTTCTTGAGAAGAAGATTTTTAAAGATTTTTCTTATATATTTCAACGTAAAAACTGGATTCCCTATTGTGGCCCCGCCCTACCCCCGGGGGTCATGATTTTAACAATTTAAAATCTACACTACCCCAGGATGCTTCCACATAAGTTTCAGCTTTTCTGGCCCAGTGGTTCTTGAGAAGAAGATTTTTAAAGATTTTTTCTATATATTTCAATGTAAAACTTGGATTCCCTATTTTGGCCCCGCCCTACCCCCAGGGGTCATGATTTTAACAATTTAGAATCTACACTATCCCAGGATGCTTCCACATAAGTTTCAGTTTTTTTGGCCCAGTGGTTCTTGAGAAGAAGATTTTTTAATGACCGCACCCTATTTTTGTCTTTTCTTGATTATCTCCCCTTGTAAGGGAAATTGGCCCTTTATTTTAACAATTTAAACTCTCCTTCAGTCAGGGATACTTTGTACCAAGTTTGGTTAAAATTGGCCCAGTGGTTCTTGAGAAGAAGTTGAAAATGTGAAAAGTTTACAGACGGACGGACGGACGGACAGACAGACGAACGGACGACGGACAACGGGTGATCAGAAAAGCTCACTTGAGCTTTCAGCTCAGGTGAGCTAAAAAGTGCTGTCAAAGGCTTCTTTGAAAAGATATTTCAAAGAAAATTTGTATGAAGGTAGAGTAAGACTGAATAAAGTGCCCCGCCACAGCATGATATGCCTGTCAAATATTGTTCAATTTTCATAAACAGTTTAGAGTGCATGAAAATCATGTCAACCTTGATTCAAAGATTTCAATGATTTTTCCATTCCTTATAATATTTGCTGTTTATACATCTGTAGTGTAGGCATTAATTATAACAAATATTACATCATAGATTTCTCAACTGGTTGTGTCAGAACTTGACAAATGCCCATCTGCAACCCCCCCCCCCCCCCCCCCATCCCACCCCATCTTTCATATTTGTTTGATATTTTCAAAATCAATAACAATATCAAATAAGTCTTAACAATTTAATCCATACCAAATTAATTTTGAAAATAAAAAGCTGGCCATCAAATGACATATGCTATAAACTGACTAGTAGATCTTCTGTCTTGTTCCCAAAGGATGCAGATAAGAACTGCTTGATCAGAGATGCTCTAACAGAAATGATTGAGACAGCTAGCCTTCCTACATTGAACTCATTAATCAATTATAATCTTTAACTGGATGCATGTCCACTCATTACTCCCAAAGGATGAATGGATCTGCACTATCTGCTTTGTAGTCTAGCTGTATTGCAGTAAAAATGCATATTTATGTCATTCTGTTGAAAACAGAGATTTTTTTAATTTGTACAAAGATTTATAAAAAGAAATAAAAACTTGTGTAATCTTGATGCAACATTTTTAATAAGGTTACTGCATGACTCTTAGATTTGTAGGGACTATCTACCATAATTTTTTTTTTAAAAAAATACTTGATGATTTTTTTGAGATTTAATGTCAGACTGGTTTTAAGCTGCAGTGCATATGGACAAATGGACATGCTGATTCCAATATCCCCCCTTCGTATAACTAGTTTTAATTTAATTATATTATACAATATTAAATTAGTTTATTTTACAATATCAAATTAGTTTTAATTACTTTTCACCAAATTCATTTTAAAAGTTGGGCTATAGCCAACAAAATCTATTTAATCAAACACAGCTGATTCCTTTGCCCAATTCCCAAAAGATATAGATAACACCTGCTTGATCAGAGATACTCTATCAGTTAGCTCCTCAAACTACAACTCATTAATTTCTCTCTTATTTGACATGCAATTTTCTGTTATCAAAATTCTCCTTGACCAGTGCTTGCTAATTACACCCAAGGGAGAGGTGGAATTTCTCTTATAACATTACATTTGTTATAGATTGCTGTAAAGTATATAATGAAAAAAATAAGTATTTTCTTTATTTAACACTTTTTAATAAGGATACTGCAACACTCTTACATTTTTTGGTACTGTGTAATTCAATAGTATAGAGACAGCTTTTCTAAAAATTTCACTTAAATTAAAGGTCACAGTGACCTTGAAATAGGTCGCAACACACCCTCTACCTAAGATGCATAAATTGGCCAAGTTTAATGATTCTAAGTCTAATAGTTTTCTAGTTATGAGCCGGACAGGATTTTTCCATATTTGGCCATAGCATCTTAATTAAAGGTCAGAGCGACCTACTTTTAATGTGCGACACACTTTCTACCCAAGATGTGTCAGCTGACAAAGTTTGATAATTCTAGGCCTAATGGTATTAAAGTTATGAGCCGGACGTGAAAAAGCTAACAGACGGACGGACAGATGGACGGACAGACATGAATGTTATAACATAATATGTCCCATCTTAAGACAGGCGTATAAGAAATGGTATGGTAAATCAGCAATTCCATATTTCATTTTATGGTTGGTTTATAAACATGGTTTATGTCCAATTTGCTATTATAGGCATTTATATAAGATTTTTATTTACATGATACAGCTGGACTTTCAGTCTATTATATAATAGCTCTCCACATGTTCTGTATAAAACTAAAGTGTATCAATGCAGTTTTCCACAAATGTATCTTGAGTAAGAGGACACTAACCATTTAGGAATAAAACGCACTAAAGTCTTCCCCCGGACTTGTTTTTGTGCGTATTTGTTTCATATTATTTCAACTTCGGCGCTCCAAAACTCACTACTGCTTTTGACTTTCGACTCAAAAAAATGAATCTGAGTAACATTGCCATGTACAATCTTATTTATTTTTCATGATTTAAAATTTGCGAATATATTACATGGGGTTACAACTAGGCCGGTGCCATTTTGGTTTTTACGAGAAAATACGGGGCACCCTTAACTTAACTTCTCTTGAGCTTTAATCGTTCCCATAAAATTGGTTTAAACACCTGACGAATTAATGCCAGCAAATTCTGTAACACCATGTATCCACTATTCTCCTTTGATTGTCAACTTTGTCATTTTCTCACAGCTAGCTCTTTTTTACGCAATATTTTGAGCAAAGATTCGATAATAACATGCTATGTTTGACACATGCTAAACCACCTCAGAAGTATAGGATCTAAATAAAACACCATATGATAGACTGTAGTCTATGTAAACATTCACCCAACTAGCATTTGTGTCCGTTAGCATGCATCTGACTAATGAGCAAAAGTTGACTTTAAAATTTTAATTCGCTGAAATTGTATCTCTTGTTATATGTCATTTTAATGGTCAGTATGCTAAACACAAAGGATTCTGACGTCATTTTTGGAGTTATTACGTCAAAAAAATTACACAGTAACATCACAGTACAGTCAAACCTGTATTAAGCAGTCACCTGCGGGAACCATTAAAAGTGACCTTTATAGAGAGGTGACCTTAGACAAGAGGTTCATCTTTTTTCAAGAAAAATTCTTTTCCAATTTATGTAAGTTCTGTGTTTTAAAATAATACATCATAGAATATTAAAGAAAGATGTGTTTTGGACATCAATGGTCTCAGTTAGATTTTTTTTTTAATCTAAATAGTCTCAAAATTAAGTTCAAGTTAAATTTGATGACTCCAACAAAAAATATATTGAGTCTAAAAGGGCATTGCATTACCCTCCTTCCAAACAACAACAAAACTTTGTTTTATTATAAGATTACATTATTATGTTGTGCCATGAATAAAATATTATGTATTTTTTATCTAAACTGCCTTTAAAAAAAACAAGTTTAGTTAGTCCTGATAATTGTATGTTTAATAATACATAAATAGTAGTGTAACAGACAAGTCAAATTATTCTCAGTTTATCAAAGCAGTGCATAATACAAATTGATATCAAATTCACAGGTGTTGTTAGCAATGAAGCATGACTAATCGTA